TTGTCTGCCCGGTGCTTTGGAAAACTTTTGAACATTTATTTTCTCAATATTTTGATTTTTTTGCACCCTCAGATTCCAGATTTTCAAATAGTTGTATCAGCCAAATATTGTTCTATCCTAACAAACCATACATCAATGGAAAGATTATTTATTCAGCTTTCAGATTTTAAAAAATTGACCCTTATGACTGGTTTTGTGGTCCAGGGTCACATTTGACACCAGGACTAAGACTAAGACTAATTTAAAACGGCTGACAAAATGAACTCTAAGCGGCACCAGGGTTGCAAAAAGGTGGAAAATTTCCAGTAAATTTCCAAAACGTTCCAGATATTTTGGAAACTTTCCCGGATTTTTGGGAATATTCCAGGGATTTTTGGAAAGTTTCCGGAAATGTTCCACCCCTATGCAGCCCTAAGCGGCACACACCTCTGCGTGTAGCTGGATGGCGTGTCAGTGAACACGTGTTCGGTGTAGATCCCGGGCCGACTCTCATCCGCAGGTGTGTTGCTGTGGCTCTCCGTGGCCTCCAGAGCTTCTTCTGCTGCTGCTACCTCGTCTGCAGAGAGACTTCACAGCTGCTTTACACAATACAGAACGTTTGCATGCAGCTTCACACTAATAACGACTGCTAAAATAACTGTGCTAATCTTGTAAAATTCATCAAAAATGAATGAAATGCAGTTTGCAACTCAATTTATATGAACTCTGTTGTAATCTGATCAAGTGAAGCAGGAAATTCAAACAAGAAAATATAAGAATATATAAAAAATATATTTATCGACTGGATCTGAATTGACTTGCAAAGCCAAGTTGTTTTAGAGACGGAACATTTATTAATATTTTGCACTGTTCTGCATTTGTTTTTGTCGTAAATATGACTTTTTTTTGTAAAAATGCTAATGTATTTTGTATGCATTAAGGTTTTTTTTTTTAGTTAATTTTTTTAGTTTTTGTGAAGTGCTACACAATCCAAAGTGTTTCTTTATGATTGTTTCTTTTTGAAAAGTGTGTTGTTTCTTTTCAAATGTGGCGTTTGGTAATTATGCTGCTCGTGGCAATTATGTTCTGAACTTTAGCCACTATCATATGTATTTATTTAATAATTTTTGTTGTTACTAGTGTTAATTTCGCTAACGAAATCTATGACGAAAAATGTTCGTCAACAAAGTTTTTTCCCCTGACTGAAACGAGACGATGACGAGGTGATAATAAGGTCATTAAACTTCTGATGAAATGTAAAAATTAATTTCCTAAATGACAACAACCATTGCAATTAAAATTTAGCAAAATAATAATTTTTTATCATTTTAACCATTGTACAGTAAGACGAAAATATGACAAAAATCAATGTGTAAGTTTCCACTGACTAATACTAGAATAAAATGCTCAGACATTAAGTCGACTAAAACTAGACTAAAACTAACACAGGACAAGTTTACTAAATATGATAAAAACTAAAAGTAACATTTGACACAGGACTAAGACTAAATTAAAAATAGCTGACAAAATTAACACTAGTTGTTACTTATTTTTGATGTATTTTGTAAGCTTTGATTTAATATTTTATGTTATCTTTTTTCCCTCTACTGAAGAATTTGGATTCATGAAACATTTGGAAGAGAGTTTCCAATTTTTCATACACTGTTTTTGTGTAGCAGCAGCCAGAAATAGACTCTGCAAAAGAGATGTTTGGCTAATTTTTCCAATCTATTGGTCACATACTGCTGATAAAAGATTACAAATACATTTTATTTCATTTATTTGTAGTAACAAGCTTATATTAATTAGATCACACTTTATTCTCACTACGACTTTTACCTCAATAAACTCTTAATTACTGCTTATTAATAGTCAGTAAGGTAGTTGTTAAGTTTAGGTATTGGTTAGGATTAAGGGATCTAAAATATGGTCATGCAGAATAAGATATTAATATGTGACCCTGCAGCACAAAAGCAGTCTTAAGTCGCTGGGGTATATTTGTAGCAATAGCCAACAATACATTGTATGGGTCAAAATTATTGATTTTTCTTTTATGCCAAAAATCATTAGGATATTAAGTAAAGATCATGTTCCATGAAGATATTTTGTAAATTCCCTACTGTAAATATATCAAAACTTAATTTTTGATTAGTAATATGCATTGCTAAGAACTTCATTTGGACAACTTTAAAGGTGATTTTCTCAATTTTTTTGCACCCTCAGATTCCAGATTTTATTTATTTATTCAGCTTTCAGATGATGCATAAATCTCAATTTCCTAAAATTGACACTTAAAACTGGTTTTGTGGTCCAGGGTCACATATGTGCTTTAAAAGTATTAATATGCATGCTAATAAGCAACTAGTTACTAGTGAGAATTGGTCCCTAAACTAAAGTGATACCATTAATTGTTCATAATAAGACCATGAATGTGTATCAAGGAAGTAAACAGGATAGATTTAGTTTTCATGTTGACTTTAAAAAGGTAAAATGCTTCCCTTTAACCACGAGTCATCTTTTCTTTACAGAAGGTTCAATTTGGTGCATTATTTCCTGGGAGTTCATAAGACTTTATTCTTGTTTGTGTTGAATGAAAAATGGAGTAAAGTGGTCCAGACTTTAAAATCAAACGCGTGACTTGATGCTATCTTCTGCAGTGCTGTGTCTGTTAGTGTTACCGGTGTCTGAGGACTCTATGGAGTTGTTGCAGACGGTTTGAGGGATGGCCACGAGTCCTTCTGCAGAGCAGCCCATGACAGTGATGCCATCCAGACCTCCGTCAGAGCCTGTGGAGCTGACTTCAGAAGCCCCTTCGGCCTCAGCGTCTGCGCTCAGCTCCTCTCCGGAGGGATAGTCTGTTTCACGAGCGCCTGACACAAACACACACAGAACCCGTCAAACCGAAAGCGCTGGAGGAGATGATGAATAAGGCCTCAGTGTGTCGTCTGACCGGGAACGCTGGCGATGCACAGCACGTGAGAGCTACAGACGAAGAAGCTCTCCAGGATGTTTCCGGGCTGGTTAGCGTTGATGACGATGACTTTAGAGGAGGTGTGTGTGGTGGTGCAGATCCACACCAGACTGGAGAGATCATCCTGGTGCTGCAGCTCCTTCTGCTGCTCCTGCACACACACACACACACACACACACACACAAGACTTCTTTTAAAAACATTTTAAAAATGCATAATTATTCCAAACTGTTGACTGGTATGTAATATAATGTGTAATTATATAAATTATGTTAATTAAAAAAAATCAATTATAATAATGATTTTATATATATATATATAATTTTTTTTTATTTATTTATTTTTTTTAATTTGTATATTTTTATTTCCAAATACAAAAAAATATGCATTAAATATACATTCATTTGCATTTTCATTCATTAATTTGCATATACATTTCCAGAACATAAATCTGAACACTGGATAAAAAAAAACAAAAAAAAAACATTTTTTTGAATTTGAATTATGAATTTGAATTTTGTTGAAATGTTTTTACAGACAGAATTCTGGATTTCTCATTTTTTTATCACTCCATAAATCAGAAAATACCGTCAACAGACAAAACAAAAACATCTTCACCATGTTTTTAGGAATAAAATAGTCTATCACTCAGTGTGAATGATGATGCATGAACAAACCCCGGTGTAAAAGCCTTCAGAATACAGATAGAAATTAATCTGTAAAGTCTGTATATAAGTGTTGCTGAAGTGCAGATAAAAACTTTTTCAGAAAGATTGTAATTGAAAACTGAAGTGTATTTTAGATGTTTGCTTTCCACAACTGCATGAAAAGCCAATGGTGTTGCCTGCAGAAAACCAAGTCCTTCTTCACGAGATGCATGTGATATTTTGGGGCTCCTGACCTTGAGTTCCTGCTCCAGTCGCTCCAGACTGCTCCGAGATCCTCTCTTCTTCCTGGGGCCGCTCTCTCCTCCAGACACATCTTTATAAAACACACTCGCTCCCACGATGGAGCCTCCGTCTCGTGTCTTTCCACCGGACAGATTGACTCCTGCAGCGCACCACAGCTACACACGACAAACACGTCAAACCACGACACTGACTGAGCTCAAGACTCGATCAGAGAGCAGTCTCACCTTCATGGAAGCATCTTTCTCATCTAACGGTCGCATGTAGACGGGCACTGGAAGATTTCTTATTTTACTATCTGCTTGTCCACCATTTGCAACCTTTGAAAACAGAATAAGGCGGCTTTAACAAAATACTTTTAGCAACCCATTAGGTATAAAATACACTTTTAATGTATACACTAGCGGTCAAAAGTTTGGGAACAGAACGATTTTTAATGTTTTTTACAGGAGTCTCTTCTGCTCAAGGCTGCATTTATTTGATCAAATATACAGGAAAAAATGTAATATTGTGAAATATTATTATGATTTTTTATGTATTTTAATATTCAAAATTCAGCAAGGATGTGTTAAATTGATCAGAAGTGATTGCAAAGATTTATATTGTTAGAAAAGATTTATATTTTGAATAAATGCTGTTCTTTTTAACTTTTTATTCATCAAAGAATCCTGAAAAAAGTATCGCAGTTACCAAAAAAATATTTGGCAGCACAACATTGATAATTCTAATAATAAATCAGCATATTAGAATGATTTCTGAAGATCATGTGACGCTTTATACTGGAGTAATGATGATGGAAATTCAGCTTTGCATCACAGAAATAATTATATTTTAAAGGATATTAAAATAGAAACCATTATTTTATATTGTAATAACATTTTGCAAGATTACTGTTTTTTTTCTGTATTTTTGATCAAATAAATGCAGCCTTGATGAGCAGAAGAGACTTCTTTAGAAACATGACAAGTCTTACTGATCCCAAACTTTTGAGCGGTAGTGTATATTAATAGGCAACTTTTCATTGTGATCTTTGCTTTCTCTGTTACACAGCATCAGAGACGTTACCTTGTATTTTGGAGGTAAACTCCATCCGTACGCCTGCATGCGGCTGTCCTCTTTCTGCACATGAGCCTTCACCTGCCTGTACTGAGCTCTCTTCTGCTCTCTACGAGACACTACATTCTCCACCTCAGCCCTGTGTCACACACACTCACACACACACACACACACACACACACACACACACACACAGAGATATATATATATATATATTAAAGTATTTATTATTATTATTATTATTATTATACTATAATAAATTAATATTTATTATATTATAATGACAGTAATAATAACTATTATTTGTTTATTCAGAAAATATTTGTATTTTATCATATTTTAAATTATAAAAATACTAAATCAAAACAATAAAGAAATACTATTATACTAAAAAATAAAGAACAACAGTAAAATTACAATATTAATATTTATGGATCTGGATTACTTTGCTTTTAATTGTAAAACTACAGAACTCTTATTTTGGCACTAGGAGAGCTTAAAGCTTTTGTTTTGTTGAGGACAGGCTTATCAACGATTCTGATTACACATTTGGGAAGCTGCACGGTTGCAGAGATGGAGTTTGTGAGGAACGGCAAACCGACTCTGAAGACATTGGATTCATGAGCTGCTCGCATGTAAAAGAACACATCTGATGCTTGTCAAGTTTTAATTTCGGACCCAGGCTAAGACGCAAGAGCAGTGTTTTTTCTCTTTTTCGCGCACACACACACACACACACACACACACACACTCTCGCACTCTCTGCAACTCATGTGGGTCATACTTCAGATCGGAAAATACGGACATCACAGTGTAGAGGCATCTGAATGAGAGCCACTCACTCCTCATTGAGGAAGTCAAAGGCTCTGGATTTGTCACTAGGCAGCTGAGCGAGCGTGCTGCTCCTCTTCTTCACCGAGGGTACGATGTGTGACCTGGGTGCGTTGTACTTCATGTTAACCGCTGCGTCTGGTTTTTGGGCTGTGGTGCTGGACGAAGAGCTGAAGAGCCTGCTGAAACTGAGGGACGTGGGGAGAGAGACACAGACAGAGACTCATATGCAGACAAGCAGCAGTTAGAGGTCAAAGGTTAACCGTTATGGGGTTGTGGGGTCACGTCCCTAACATGTGGCAAGCTCTTCACACAGCTCTGCGACAAACCAACCGTCAGATATCTAACCCCAGACAGCACATGCTGAACAAACCTTCACTTTCTACGTTACACCACTTAATACACTACTGTTCCAGAGCTTTTTGAAAGAAATTAATATTTTCATTCATCAGGGATGCATTAAATTGATCAAAAGTGACAGTAAAGACATTTATAATGTTGCAAAAGATTCTATTTCAAATAAATGCAGTTAGCTGTTTGAAATTATAATAATATTGCACAATTGTTACTGTTTTTACTGTATTTTCAATCAAATAAATGCAGCCTTGGTGAGACTTATTTCAAAAACATAAAAAAAAAACTTACAAACCCCACACTTTTGAATAGTAGTGTACATATACAGTTGTTTCAGAAAATCTAAAATTCCATTAATAAATAAATAAAGGGAAATATTAATACTATGATCTAATATTTTGCTGGGGTATATTTGTAGCAATAGCCAACAATACATTGTATGGGTCAAAATTATAAATGTTTCTTTTATGCCAAAAATCATTAGGATATTAAGTAAAGATCATGTTCCATGAAGATATTTTGTAAATTTCCTACTGTAAATATATCAAAACTTAATGTTTGATTAGTAATATGCATTGCTAAGAACTTAATTTGAACAACTTTAAAGATGATTTTCTCAATATTTAGATTTTTTTGCACCCTCAGATTCCAGATATTCAAATAGTTGCATCTCAGCCAAATATTGTCCTATCCTAACAAACCATACATCAATGGAAAGCTTATTATTCTTATATATTGATGCATAAATCTCAATTTAAAAAAATTGACACTTAAGACTGGTTTTGTGCTCCAGGGTCACAAATGTGACCTGAAACTCCTGAATAAAGCTCTTCTAATTTTGCACTTTATCAAACACCACACCATGCAAATCCTTCCAGAAACATTCAAAGATCTGAATCTAAACAAACATCTGATGATCTGTCTGTGAAAGCTCTGTCCCCTGACCCAACACACCTTCTGCAAACACACAGGACGACATGAGGAGGGTTACGGACAACACACGAGCACACAAGAGGAGAACGAATGGGTTTAAAATAGATGCAAAACCTTAAATGCCCCCAAATGCAAAACCCAGAGTAGACCGGCATGACCTGTGAATGGCATTTCAAACCAACAAAACAAGCCCCCCGCAGGCTGCTTTCTGACACTGACGTGCTAAATCCTTTAAAAATGCGTGTAATGAACGCTTGAGCATTAGTAAAGTTTAATGTAGCATAAACTCCTGTTATGCTTTTGTTCCATTCCTGTTAAAGCTTTAAAGAAACAGCATTCCCATGCCCAAGAACACATTTTTGGATTCGAGGATCAAACCAAGTGCAAGATTTACTAGGATTTCTAAGATTTACGTACATCCTAGAAGGAAAACACATAAAAGGGGGATATAAAATGAGAGGGGGAAACATCGTTTCAATGCCAAACCACACAAAGCAATGTAACACCAACTTTGAGGAGAATGAAGAAAGGTTGCTTACAACTGCCAGACACTGGACTTTTTCTTCTCAGTCAAGGCTGGATTCTCTCTCGACGCTCTGCATTGAACAAAACAATTTTTTTTTCAGGAAAATCACGATTTTATCACGATTCTCTATCACGTTGGTTTTACTATTTTGCACGTTTTCTGAGCAGCACAGCCAAACTAATTTCCCTATTTTAAAAACAAAGCCTTACAAGGTAACAAAATAGAAAATTACAAAAGAATGGATGATATTTAGGACAAAGTGGGCGAAGGTAAAAATCTTTGTCATTATTTTATCTTTGTTATTAAAAAATAAGAACGAAGATACTTATTACAAATACACATAAAACAAACAGTGCTTTATTTTTCAGATACAGTAGGTGTATTTAGCAGTAGCATTCAAGAAACTGAATGAATAAATATAAAAATAAAACACTATACACATGCATTGATTCTTATTAAAGCAACTGTATTAAAGTTCTTCAGTCAAGAGCAGTGAGTGATTGCTCTCTGTTTTGTCGTTTTATTAACATTAAAGGGACAGTTCACCCAAAAATTTAAATTCTGTCATCATTTACTCACTCTCAAGCTGTTTTAAACCTGAATGAATTTCTTTCCTGTGCTGAACACAAAAGAAGTTATTTTGAAGAATGTGGGAAACTAAACAGTTTCTGGTCCCCAGTGACTTCCATAGTATTTTTTTTCCTACTATCAAAGTCAATGGGGACCAGCAACTGTTTGGTTCCCAGGTTCTTCAAAATATCTTCTTTTGTGTTCAGCACAGGAAAGAAATTCATTCAGGTGTGGTACAACATGAGAGTGAGTAAATAGTGACAGGATTTTAATTTTTGGGTGAACTTTTCCTTTAATGACAAGCGGCAGCATGTTTAGTACTATTAGACTGCTGTCACTTTAAGACCTACACGCATCTGTTTTATCTCAACTTTTTACTTTCACTTTAGACATAACCAACTGTGTTCATATGTAAACCTCATGTGTTTTTGACAGTATTAGCGCAATCAGATGCGAAAGATAACACAGTCCTGTAATCAGGCGCTGTTTGACAGGCTTTTTAGCGTGTGCTCGCTTCAGGTGTACGCACGCGCTCAGAAAAAGACCATGTCAGAATGAAATGTTTAACCGGCAAGGCTTTAAAGCACATGCAAATAATGTACTTTTGTGATTGTGAATAAGTGCTACCGCTGAGTAACATTTGATGTGAATGTATGTGGTGTTGTACAGTATATGAAGAGTTCATTTGCAAAAACCGATAACTCCATTTTTAATTTTTTTCAGAAATCACGTTTTTTTTTTTATTGTGCATTCCAAGTAATATCAATCAAACTGCAGTTGGGTTGTTTTGATTAAGTAATAATAACGTAAACAAATACAGGTAATTTACAAAATTTAAGTTAATTGAAAGTATGTTTTTTGTACATATTAAAGGTTTGTTTTATAGCAAAAGCAGATAACTCCACATTTCATGTTTTAGAGTTTAAAAAACACTGGTTTAATCTTTGTAATCTCCTCAGATGATAATGTAGACGCCTGACAAACGTTGTTGTTGTGATCATAAACTGTATGGATGTAATTACACGCAATACACGGAGCTTTTCCTTCACCATTATAACGCGCTGATTTTGCATTTATTTTCCTTTTTCTCCCTGAAGAAGATATCACAGGTTCATCAAGTTCGTCGAAATGATCCTCGATCACTTTTAGTCAGCTTTGACGAGACTCCTCTCAGCTAGCACGTCTTTTCAGAGTGAAAGTAGCCTTGTCACCTGACCTGAATACAGCGCGCTGATTCGCTGAAATGGATTTATCGGCTTCTGTTCAAAAACAACAACAAGGCGCTTGTCGGCTTCTGCAGTAAAACGTGAACTCGATGCCTTGAAAGTGGACAAAACCGGCTTTTTTGACAAAACGTGTTTAGGGTTCAGATCGCGCTGAATGTGGAGAATTTTTTTTTTTTAATTTTTAAAGTGCAGATTATCGGTTTTTGCAAATGAACTCTTCGTATTGAGACGGAGGCGCCAGAACTGCAGCTGATAGAATGTGCGCCGTAGCAGATCATGGAGACGTTTTAATCGCCCACGATCAAAACTCGTGATACTCGTGATGGTTTGAGCATGTGTGAGATTGGTGTGGCTGACCGTATCATCTCCGTCCACCTGACGGCCTCCTGCAGCTCCATCAGCCTCTCTTTATACTGGTTTCTCTCCATCAGGACTCGGGCCATCTCCACCCGCGTGAAGCGCTTGCGCTGGGCCGTCGGCACTCCGCTCTGAGGGAAACACGGCCCGTTATTGTTCAGCACAGTAAAACTGATCGTTTGAAATAGCATTGTCTAAAATACTGCTTCCGTATCGGTACGTCTCTGCATGTGCTGCGAGTTCAACATCCGTCTGAGAACGCAACATGCTTTATTTTCACATTTGCATAATTTCCATCATTTGTTACAGCATTTGACTGTGAGCACAGGTTTACAAGCGCTTCTTTTTACTAATCCAGAGACTTAAACATCTGACTGCAGTTTTCTGCCAAAATAAAAGCTTGATAAAAGCTTGAAAGCGAAGAGATTAAATCATACGTACTGCAAATTTACGACTGTAAAGGTAAAAAAAATTTTTTTACTTTTGAAATATTTTACAGTGCAGTTGCATTACAATAGTAATATATATACATGTATTTGAAAAATTATTATTATTTTTATTATTATGGAATCTCAATCTCAGACAGCAGTTTCAGCTGATAAGCAAATACTAAAGCTTGAGGGAACTTTATTAATTTGCAAGAGAATGCATATTGTAATTTTACTACAGTAAAAATTAATATAATTATTATAAAACTTTTTTTCTTCTTTTTTTACAGTGCAGTTGTATTACAATAGTAATATATTTCTGTGTTCTTATTATTATTAAATCAAGGGATCTAAATTATGGTCATGCAGAATAAGGCATTAATATATGCTTTATAAGTACTAATAAACAACCAATATGCTAGTAATATGCATGCTAATAAGCAACTAGTTAATAGTGAGAACTGGTCTATAAACTAAAGTGATAGAATCTCAGAGTTTCAGTTGTGAAGAAAATACTAAAGCTTTATAGCTATTTATTTTTCACAAGCAACTCTTTCAAGTAAAGAAATTAAGTCTTATAATATTAGTATTGTAATTTTACTAGTTTTAAGTCAAATAAATATATGAAATTATTATGAAAATATGATATTATTATTAAAATATTATTTTTGCAGTTGTATTACAATAGTAACATATTTCTGCCTTAGAATTATTATTAATATTATTATTAAATCCCAATTTTGCAGAGTTGCAGTTGATAAGAAAATAAAGTTTGAGGGTTTAACTCTTTCAAGTAAAGAAATTAAGTCATAAGTATTGTAATTTTACTAGTTTTAAGTAAAGTAGTTATATACTTATTAGGAAAATATTATTTTTGCAGTTGCATTTCAATAGTAACATATTTGTGTCTTAGAAATATTATTATTATTATTAAATCCCAATCTCATTCAAACAGCAGAGTTTCAGTTAAGAAAATAAAGTTTGAGGGTTTAACTCTTGCAAGTGAATGAATTAAGTTCGACATACTGTAAAGTACTATAATTAATATACGTATTATGAAATATTAATTTATTAATATTATTATTGAATCCCAATCTTATACAGCTGAAATCTAATCCTAATTCACACTGCGTCCAGACAGATTTGTAATTCTGGCTTACATCATCGTCCTCTTTAGTCTTCAGTTTGGCTTCCTCCAGCTCAGCTCGGACTCTGTTTGCACAAAAACACACAAGCGTCGCTCAAGAAAAGCTGCTCTTTGGCTGGATTGCTGATCTATGTCACAGAGTCTAATGACGCACTTCTTGAGCTCCTCCTCCAGCTCTTTGTTCCTCTCCTCCAGTCTGTCTTTGGCCTGTTTCAGGACCTCCAGCTCGCCCTGAAGAACGTCCTTCTCACACACCAGCTCATCCACACGAGCGATCAGGTCGTTCTTCACCACATTCAGAGCGTTCCTGCAGCAAACACACAACAATAGTTGCATTTCATAAATCAGTGTGTTTTTCATCATTTATGTCAGCATTCATGCACGACTATAGTAAAGTTATGATTGAATGCATTGGGAAAAACTGCATGCTGTGAAATAATACAGACATTAGATATGCATTTCTATTGCTTGATCCTGTCTGATTGTATAAGACAGACAATAAATATACAGAACGTCCAGCGATGTCTGATTCAAAGGCAATTTAATCCAGTTCTTTTTAATGAATCATTCAAAGACTCAAACTAATTATTATCAGAGAAAATGACTCGTTCACTCACTGAATCGATTGACTTTTTTTTTTTTATATTTTGAATTGAGTTTTAGCATTTTTGGTGGGTTTTTTTTCCCTCTCATTTTTTTTTTAGTTTTAGTTTTTTTAAATATGCCTATATAGTTTTTCTTCATATTTTGAATAATTTTTTTATATTTTCAGTTTTCATTTACATTTTAAACTTTTAGGAAATTTTCAGCATTTTGTCATTTTTATTTATTTTTTTTCTAATATGCCTATAGTTTTTTAATATTTTGAATTAGTTTTTCAATATTTTCTGTATTCATTTAAATGTTACTTTAAGCATTTTTTGTGTGTTTTTATTAGTTTTTTTTTAAATGCCCATATAGTTTTTTATTAATATTTTGAATGAGTTTTTAAATATTTTTTTTCTGTTTTCATTTCAATTTTAAATTTCTTTTAATGGCTCGTTCACTCACTGAATCGACTGAAATACCTTTATTACTTTCAGTTACATCAGACCTAAACTGAACCAAGAATTGTGTGCTTTATATTAAAAATGCAAATCTGTAAGGCTACTTACTTCATACGGATTTCATACTAGCATTATGTTGGTATTTTAATCTAGTATAATTCACAAAACAAGATCACTGCAGTCATTTTGACTTTTCAGTGTAGTTGCTTTCACTCAAGCATTGCTGTAACTCCTTTAAAACAGTAGATGGCAGAAGAAGCATTGCATATGGAGTAAATCTGGACGAAATGCAAACCATTTGGTGTTTTTCAGCTGGCATAAGCCACATAACAATGCCACATCTTGACTTACTTTGTCTCCAGCAGCTGCGTGTTCTCATGTATCAGGTGTTCGACTTCACGACCCATACCTGCATGACAACAATATAAATCAAGCACAGATCGCTAAAATCCCTACGGATGCTGATTTGATTACTTATGAGACCGAGAACACTTTACCAGAGAAAAGAAATGATCAGGAAATCATGCTCACCAAAGAAATTAAGGTCTAAAATTAGCATGCAAACCAAAGAACGAGCAAAGGGTCAGTTAATGACAAAAACAGATGACATTAAATTATTAAGGATCTATGAAAGAAAAACTGTATCAAACCAGATGCAACACGATTAAGCAATAAAAGCTCTCAATTCCTTGTAAATCTGAATTTATATTAACCAGCTGCCACAAGCAATTTTATGCAATTTATGCATCAACATCTTGCTATAAACATCCATGTGCTTTGCTTCAGTGTGGACAGACAAGCTACTTGTTGCTGGAAACTTGTCGCGTAGCACCTGGTGAGGATACGGTGAACAAAATAAAGAGCAGTGTAAACATACACACCAGAGAACTCGTCTGGGGGAAAGAAAAGCCACAAATGAAGCGCCACAGACATGGAGGAAAAACAACATGATTAGATGGGCTGTGAACATTAGTGAGGAATGATGGGGTTAGATAAAAAGATGAATAAAAGCAGCTGATGACTGATGTCTCCACTAGAGGAGAATGACACGAAGGGGAAAAAACACAACAACAGTCACACACACTCACTCACACACACACACACACACACACACACACACTCACCACAGCACACACACTCCACACTCTCACTCACACACACAGAAACGATCAAGAATCATGCGATTTGGAGTTTCTTGCTCAAAAGGAAACATTTCGAATCAGTGTTATTTTAGCATCATTGAGGTACTATTATAGTTTTTGTTAATATTTTGCATTAGAATTTATTCATATATTTTATATTTAATTTAGTAAAAATTTTAGAAATTAGTGTTTGTGCACTAAATATGCATATATAGTTTTATTAATATTTTGAATTGAGTTTTAGCATTTTTAGTGTTTTTTGTTTTTGTCTTTTAAATATGCCTATATACTTTTTATTCATATTTTGAATACTTTTTTATTTCTTTTCAGTTTTCATTTAAATTTTAAACTTTTAGGAAATTTTCAGTGTCTTGTCATTTTTATTAGTTTTTTTAAACGCCTATATAGCTTTTTATTAATATTTTGAATGAGTTTTAAAATATTTTTTCTGTTTTCATTTCAATTTTAAAGTTTTTGCAATTTTTCGTCATTTTATAAGTTTTTCTTTTTTAAATATGCTTACACAAGTTCTGTTTTAATACATCAAGTAAAACAACATTTAAATGATAAAATAAGTTCAAATTGTATATTTTATTTAAGCTAATTTCCAGCAATGATTTTAATTTTTTATGGTTTGAGTTTTACTGAAACTATAATAACCTGCTTTGAATCAAGTGCTTTCAACCGTCAGACAGAAAACAAAAGCATCGTAACAGCATTTCTGAAGTCATATGATAACATACTGAAATCACTATTCACTTGAGAAGCGAATAAGTTTGATTCATGAATGAATCATTCTGTGATGAAACAATCTGTGAATTAAAAGATTTACTTTAACTGAAAAGATCCAGAGCAATTCATTCACAAATCAGATGTCAGTCTTGTGAAGAGGCAAGGAAAAGATTCAAAAACTTAACAACTCATGCATGAGTTATTTGTACCACTTTTATGACACTTTTACTGAGCTTGACAGCCTCAGATCTCACTTGCTTTCATTATATTGATGAAAGGCCGGGATATTCTTCAAAAAGCCGTCATTTCAGAAAGAAAGCCACATGGGTGTAATGAGTAAATGTTCATTTGTTGTGGCAGAAAACAGACTGAGAACTCACCCAGCAGATCTGCACCTTCATCCACGTCTGCTATGAGATCGGTTCCTGCTGACGAGAGCTCCTCAAAGAGAGAGTCAGTGTTACGGTCGAAGGCCATGTTCTCCAAGCCTTTAGTGGGAGTGCTGGAGAGAGACCGAGACGATGAACAGACATGAGACAGAAAAACCTGCTTTGCCTACCAATGTCCAGTTTGGAATGAAGGTCCTCTGAGAGCGGAAAATGAAGGCCGCTGGGTCGGTGTGATAAGTGCGAGTACCGTGAGCGAATGACTGAATCAGTGTGGATTTACCTGGAGCCTTTGCATCCGCTGAGGTTCATGTCCAGCTCTGGTGTGGACTCAATGATCGCCTGGACCTCCGATCGCTCTGCATTCTCACTTGGATCAGCTCCTGAGCACAGAAACGTATCAGTTAGGTGTGTTTCAAATGGTCTGACACGTTAAAATTCATCTATACAATTCATTATTTCACTGTCACACTAGAGGCTTTGGTGCAGACATGTGATAGTCGTTTGAACATTTGTGACCCTGCAGCACAAAAGCAGTGTTAAGTCGCTGGGGTATATTTGTAGCAATAGCCAACAATACATTGTATGGGTCAAAATTATACATTTTTCTTTTATGCCAAAAATCATTAGGATATTAAGAAAAGATCATGTTCCTTGAAGATATTTAGTACATTTCCTACCGTAAATATATCAAAACTTAATTTTTGATTAGTAATATGCATTGCTAAGAACTTCATTTGGACAACTTTAAAGATGATTTTCTCAATATTTAGATTTTTTTGCACCCTCAGATTCCAGATTTTCAAATAGCTGTATCTCAGCCAAATATCGTCCTATCCTAACAAACCATACATCAATGGAAAGATTATTTATTCGGCTTTCTTATGACTGGTTTTGTGCTCCTGGGTCACATATGTACATCAAGCAAATGCAGATTCTTGCAAAAGTGTGGCTTATGGAGAATAAATGGTAAAATAAACACAAAAACTGTGCAAATGGTGGTAATACCAAATAAAAATTATGTGCAACAAACACTGGTCTTCATTTGCAACATTTAAGTTCATTTCTAAGTTCTGCTGCCTCACGAAGGCACTAAAATCTTTCCAGTGGTGAAATCATATGCAAACAGGGTATCTACAGAGTTTTTAAAAAAGAAATTTAAGACCTTTTTTTAAAGACCTGCAAAAACATTCTGTATGGTTATACTAAAAAAACAACCCCATCCAATCTCAAAATAAATCCTGTATCTCACTCATTCAACTGCGAAAGAAGACAAATGTGAGTTTAACGTACTCTAAACATGTTTTATTCAATATATATGCACTGAAATTAGTTAATGTACTAATATATATCGATAACACTTTAGTTTAGGGACCAATTCTCACTATTAACTAGTCGCTTATTAGCATGCCTATTACTAGCATATTGGCTGTTTATAAGTACTTATGATTTACAGTGTTTACACTTCATGGTGTTTCTATTGTAGTACTGTATGTTGTAGATGAATGCATGGTTTATCTGTTTGAAAGAGCAGCTGGAAGTGGTAAAGCATATGCATTACAAAATAAGAGTCCTGTGTATAGGTATATGGTGTATAGTGTAGCCAAAATACCAATAATATCCAGAAATAATAATTTTTATGCATAATGCGTGACTTTTAATTATAAACAACCTCGAAATGCACCAGGACTCTTATTTTGTAATGCATATGCTTTACCACTTCCAGCTGCTCTTTCAAACAGATAAACCATGCACTTATCTACAACATACTACAATAGAAACACCATGAAGTGTAAACACTGTAAATCATAAGCAATCTGGAATAAATGTGCTCTTAAAGACCAATCCTCTAGAATGCGCAACAGCTCCATGTTTTATCTTTTAATTCAAATTAAGCTTTTTGAAGTTTAATAATCACATTAGGCCGCATTGCAATTTTTTGCGCCCAAATTTAAGACCGCTTAAATGATAATGAAGACTTTTGTTATACCATTTATGATTTTTAAAGACTTTATAGCCTTACATTTGATCAAACTGAATTGAAGACATTTGAAGATTTAAGGACCCCTTGAAACCCTGAGTGAAACATGCAGCGAAAGCAGAGCATTACAAACTGCATTTGGACTCTGAGACATTAGGAGTCACCTGTAGACGGCGTCTCTGATGCCACAGCGATGTTCTTCCTGCTGTCTGGTTTAGCTCTCCTGGAGTCCAGGTTTCTGCTCAAACCCTGCGGCGTGTCCACCGATGCAGACATGGCTGTGCTGGATTTGGACTCTCTTCTACCGGCACCAGAAAGCTCATCCTGAAAACAACCCCAGGTGTGAAGCATGAAGCATTACCGGCGGCATGAGCGATAAACTTCGCACTGGAGTCATATGAAGCATTTATGAATAAACAGTCATGGACCGCACATATGTGCTAAATGAGACTGGGCACCGTCCACATTAATCATGAAGAATAACACATTAAATATCATCACCTCATGCTCTGCACACCATGCTACTGAAATCTTGTATGCTTGTAAATCTTGTATTTGATAATGGACTTTTAAGTAATCAAACAATCCCAGATCATACTAAATAGCAGAGAAAAACTCTTCACTTACAGCACATGCACACCACTGTTCAAAAGTTTGGGGTGAGATTTTTTGTTTTAAGAAATTAATACTTTTATTCATCAAGGATGCATTAAATTTAACAAAAGTGCCAGTAGAGACATTTATAATGTGACAAAAGATTTCTATTTCAAATCAATGCTGTTCTTCTGAACTTTCTATTCATCTGTGAATCCTGAAAAATAAAATGCATCACAGTTTCCACAAAAATATTGTGCAGCACGACTGTTTTCAGCATTGATAATAATCAGAAATGTTTCTAATAATCAGCATATTAGAATGATTTCTGAAGATCATGTGACACTGAAGACTGGAGTAATGATGCTGAAAATACAGCTGCGCATCACAGAAATACATTACAGTTTAACATATAATCACATAGAAAACATGTATTTTAAATTGTAATAATATTTCACAATTTTTACTGTATTTTTGATCAAATAAATGCAGCCTTGCTGAGCAGAAGAGACTTTTTTCAAAATCATTTAAAAAAATCTTACCGACCCCAAACTTTTGAACAGCAGTGTATCTAGAGATGATCAGAGGAAAAATCAAGCAATGAACAAAACGTGATTTTTAGTCTCCACTTTGTACATTGAGCTTTTAACAATATAAATAATTAGTGAAAGTACAGAAACTAAGCGGGGGGGGGGGGGACACTGACCCACAAAACAAACATGATTTAGTGCTATCTTAACAATAAACAAACTTGAAGAAATATTCCAGGTTATTATGCACTACAGTTCACTGGTAATTTTTTTTTCAATACAATGAATAGGGAATGAAGCTTTTTTAAAAAACAGAACTTTCAAGCTTCATAAAGCATTTAATAAAAGTATCGTAAAGACCTCATACACGGTTGCTATTTTGAGAAGTTAGAAGTTGAAAATAACCGGGAATATTATTTTGACTACACTTGCAACTGAAACTGCAAGCAATAACATCAACCACACAGATGCTGACAGCAACCACAACTACAGTTTAACTCCGACACCACCAGAGGCACTGACTGCATTCGTGAGCGATGGCTTTGGTGCTCACTCCTATGTGAGTTGGCCTAGATGTTGTTTATATGTTAGTATGTGGTTGCAGACAGCAGTGTGTGGATGCACTGGAGACGAGCCAAACACAGCACACTACACACTGCACTGCACTGCGGCTGCTGTGGAGATTACAGCAGGACTAGCAGACGGGACTACCTTACTGGAGTCGCTCCACTGGGTCTCCAAATTCTCCTGTGAACTCTTACCATCCCCTCTCCCGAGGGATTCATTCGCCTCCAGCTGCCCAGAGAGAAACGTACAGTAAGCAACATTGCACTGCCCCCTTTTTTCTGTTTATCACACACTCTGCCAGGTGGCTGATGGGAACTGCATTGCCATTATGTAAAAAGAAAATCAGGCCAGTCCTTCCCAAAAAGCATCAGGAGTCCGCTTGTCAAATCCAGATTAAGCTGTAACTACAGTAAAATTAACTGTAGGCCAGGATTACACATAATCTGTCTTTCATGGTCGATCAACGCATGGCAGACACTTTCTTTGTGTATTTTTATGGTGCACTTTTTAATGGAGCCAGATTGAACTAAAGCTTTAAAACCAGATGCTAATGTCAAACCAGAAACTCACTGGCAGATTACCAAGACATTTTCTTCCTTATAATGACAGAACAATGACAGTACACAACACAATAAAACAAGGTTCATGCACTGCAAAAAAGACATTTTGACTTCAAAGACCATTTTTTTGGCCACTGTAATAAAAACTTTTGTGATACCTTAATATCAAACCAGGCTCACTTGAAAAAACGTGCATGGGTTCTGCAAAATTATATCACGGTGCTACTTTTGATTATACGTTTGGCTACACTTTCAAAGTGAAATGTCCAGTGACATTTCAAAGCGCATTTTGTTTTATCCAAAACAGATGAATGTGAATCTGGCAATGTTTTATTACGTTGGATGTTGTACATATCGTGGCATTTCACAAATGAAGTGGCGCTAAAAGGTTAACCACGTTTGAAATGAACGTAACACCGACACTAACAAAATAACAAAAGCAAACGTGAGATTAAAACACATGTGCTGAAGCAACCATGTCATTTTATCTTGCTTCTACAAGTCTCTGAGCTCTTTTATCATGACTGGTGTTTGACGGACTCGTACCCGAGCGCTTCACATCACAAGTGCAATGCTGCACCGGGTGCGCTACCGAGCAAGTTTACATCAGAAAAGACACACATATGGAGCTGCTTATGAGATGCAAACATCAAAATGTATTAGTTTACAAATCATGCACTATGGTAAAAGTGTTTTGAACTCATAACATAGTATTGTGCAAGAAACCAGGCAAAAATAAGTCTTCATTAATCGACAATCTGCCTCTATAATCATAATCTGTGTGAAAAGGGATAAAAGTTGTTGGCGTTTTACTGCCACTAGTGTTCATTTCAGCTGGAAACTGCAGTGAATTGTATGTTTAGGTAAATTTTTTTGTACAATCAGCCTGAATGCTCACATGCTCTGAATGTCTTTCTCTATTAACACAGAACATCAGAAGAAACATAAGTGAAAATCTGAATGTGTTGAAGTTTCTTGCTTCTTTTGTTTGTATACACAGAGGCAAGACAGTATGATGGCATATTGTGAGGCCAGTGCCCTCCGGCTCTTCAGATAATGAGATGTTTTATTAATGTAGCTTTTTTTAAACAGCACTACACCTGGTGACCGTGCTCTATAAAAAACCAAAGCTCTCATTAAAATCAATCGGTTATGGAAGTGCAATGAATCCACAGGGACCGATAGCAGGTTTTACACACCTGTTTGGAAAGCACAAACTTCAAAGCGCTCTTTCTTCTCCTTGACATATGCGCACAAGCCAACAAAAGCACAAGTGCGCACACACAAAACCTTGTTTGCAAGATGCTCCCATACTCTCTCGGGTTTCCATGCCAGCATGTGCCCACTTTTTCTCAGCGTGGAGGTTCAGAGCCGTTAAACCTGAGGAGAGGCTGTCAGCAAGTCATGGCCTAGTTTCTCATGTCTCTCAGAAGCAGCAGTGCTGAGACTCTGGGGGATGATATGGAGAGAAATGCAGAGTCACAGAGCACACAAAGGCCTGTCTGTATCAGTCCACAGTGGGAGTCTGAACCCGAGACGACTCACCAGTGGCCTTGATGGGGTCTTATAATGAGAAATCAAATATTCATTGATCTTCTCAAATAACAGAGTTTGATGTACACCTACTGTGACTTTTTTGTATTAAAAAAGGGCTTGAGCTTTCACAAACTTTATGATGCCAGACTGATGAATGCATCAAGTCACGATGAGGTAAATAGGGATGAAGCTGAACAGATAATATTATTCATAAACACCAGAAGAACAAGACAAGTTGCCAAGCGGTTTGAGCCAGCAGTTTCTGTATGTGTGTAGCACCTACAGCTCTGCACCTTCTTGCAAATGAATTGGAAAGAGTGCCTGATGTTCATTTTAACAAAACAAAAAAAATTGTTGTTTGCACACTATATGAAGCTTGTCATATAAAATAAATTTTAAAATAAAAAATAAAATAGTTTTGCCAGACCTTTTAGTCTTGTTCTGTGATAAGTCTTATTGACTGAAATACATGAAGTAATACATTTGTCTGAGTGCAACAATACTTCCTATTTAGCATAAGATTATTTTTTAACAAATCCCCTGATTAGTTCAGCTAATTGTAACACCAAAACCTTCACATAAAAAGATCACTGAGCTCCACACATGGCATGCAGAGGGGGAAAAAAAATAAAAAAACAAAACAAGATATAGTAGCCACGAATTAAGAATTAGTTCCTTTATTATAACTTATTAATTTGCTTCCTGGTTTTAGATAAATAACGCTATAGTGGCATGATTTAACTAAATTAAAATTAGGTAAAAAAATTGTAAAATGTGGCTGCAAATTAATAAGTCAAGAAAACAAATTCTTAATTTGTGGCCACGATATCTATTTTGTTTCCCCACATGTCATGCATGAGGCTCTGTATTTTAAGGGATTGCAGCAACACTTGCAAAGTGGAGAAATAAAAAAGAAGTAAAACTGAAAAGAATAATATATACATTGCCAACGTGTTTCGGCACACAGACCTTCATCAGGGCTAAAAGATTGCAAATACAAAAAACGAATTTAAATACAAAAAGACAAGCTTTAAACTTACAATTAACCAATGGGAAAGTCAGATAAAAAAATGCACCTTGCTGATTTTGTGAAGGTGCACCAGAATACCCATAAAAATGCATGGAGCTCTGTACTTTTCTATGATTAAATCGAAAATTTAAAAAAAAAAGACCTTTTGATTTATTCTCTGATTTAAGTTTGCGGCCATATTGTACTAATTTATTCTCTCAATTTAATTAAATTGTGACCATGATTTAATTGTATTAATACAACATGGCGACAAATTAATTTTAAAATTAATAAAATTTTTCTTCTGCATGTCATGCACAGGGATCTGTACTTTTCTATGACAAAAAAATAAGAAATTAAGTTCTCATATCTTTCGAGATGAAAACAATAGTAAGTAGGTCAAATCATGACAGAAAAAAGCACAGTCAAGAAAACAAGAAATAAATGGAAAATGAGGGAATACAAGGTATGAGAAGTGCATATAAAGTAGAAAAGAATGAAGTCTCCATCCTTGGGAAGAACAGTATGAGATGGTACAGAAGTAAACAAGGATTTCTGATGGTAGAAGTGCTCATCACATACCATCAGACTCCAACAGTGTAAGCTGAAATATGACCGTAATGCTTCAAAAACTCCTGCATCAGGCTCAAGCAACACCCTTGCACTGAGACGTTTCAAGGTCGGGCTGTTCTAGGACGTGAGAGATTGACAATGCCTTCGTTCCTGACAAAATCAATGTGAACCAGGAGAGAGGAGAGGATTCAGATCAGTCCAGTGGATCCGTCGAGATGGGCTTTCCCCACAACTTGCACATCTGTTCCTCAAAATCTTGAAATATTCTTGGTGAGAACTACCCAGTTTGAGTGGTTTGTTTGTCTTGAGTTTTGAGAGGGTTGTGAATGTAAACACGGCAGGAAGAGGTTGTCGGCAAATGATTACTTCATTAACATTAATATGTATGAAGGGGCCTAGTGCATGTATCTCTATGGGAGATGGAAGGTTGATATGGAATCATATGAAAGCTGAATAAATAATCTTTCCATTGATGTATGGTTTGTTAGGATAGAACAATATTTGGCTGAGATACAACTATTTGAAAATCTGGAATCTGAGGGTGCAAAAAAATCTAAATATTGAGAAAATCATCTTTAAAGTTGTTCAAATTAAGTTCTTAGCAATGCAACAATGTATTGTTGGCTATTGCTACAAATATACCCCAGCGACTTAACACTGCTTTTGTGCTGCAGGGTCACATATGTTCGGTGCGGATCCATTCAGAGGGGGAAGCTCTCTCAAAGCAAACTAACGGTGTCGTCATCGCCTTTATTCCCCCAAACCCATGTTCACTTTCTGGGAAGCAGATAACAGCCTGCTCGGATGAGGACATGATCACTCGCTAGTAGGGCTGGGAATTGACACATTTCATTACATATCAATATTTCTAAAAAAGCTCTTTCAACTAAAGCTGTAGACTATACCGGAAACCCAAGTAAAACCCTGTTTTACTATTCTAAGCAACCGTGTCATTTTATCTTGCTTCTACAAGTCTCGTGACCAGTGAAGATTCACACCCCTAGCTATTTTTAAGATGGCAGTACTGACTTAGAGAGATTCCAACTATAAACAAAAAGCATAGAAACTGCAATTTTGGTTAAAATGTAAAGTTGTAAAGATGTATTTGCACAGCAGAAGAATTCATTAGGAAAAAAATGTAGATAGAGAATCGTTTTGGAATCGGATCGTGAAGTGCCTGAAGATTCTCACTCCTCGTAAGTAATTAATCTGTAAACCGGCGCGTTTCTCACCTTGAGGCTGGTGTTGGAGCGAGGGTGGCTGAGATTGTTATATCTCCATGTGTCCGTTCCTGGAGTCTCCACAGCTTCTCTGTGCAGATCAGGGCTCATTACATCACTTCCCGGCAATGAAAAGATACCCAGAGAGACGGGGCACTCCTTCCTAAACACACACACAAAAACATATGACTGAACACTTGTAGGTGTGTGATATTTATTGTCTACAATAATATGATAATTGTTGTTTTAACGATGTGCATGTTGACATTATTGAGTATGCATGAGTATATGCAACAAAAAGAAACGCACATCTTGAGAGTCATTCACAAAAGCATTCTCTACATGATAAAAAGCCTATTAGAATGCAGTCAGAATGCCCCTATAGTTCAAGTTATGAAAGCAAAAATATCCCTGTATGGGTTTTTGTTTTTCAAATTTATAAGATATGAGATTAACCTTTATTTAACCAGGTAAGTCAGTTGAGAACCATTTCTCATTTACAATGACGACCTGGCCAAGAGGCAGCATAAAAAGCAGGTACAATACAATAAAAAACATAATAAAGTTACAAATAACACAATTGTAAACAATAACATATAAAAACAAACAGATAACTAAAAACAAGTACAATGGTCTTGTACTATTGACTGAATTAAATTTTTAAAGGAAGAGAGCGAGATAAATGAACTAAGCTTTAAAGTCTGCTGCAGATGATTCCAATCATATGCAACAGAAAACTGAAAAGAGCAACGACCAAAGGACCAAAGGAGATACGAGTTATATCAAACAAGCAAGAGTGCCGTTTTCCTAAATATTGGCGCGTGAGTGTGATTGCAAATTTTGTATTGATTTTATATGAGTTACTAGTTTAGACACAATAGTCTGTTTTAGTTTCCGGATGCAATACAAAGTTTTGGGTGCGAGAAGTACATGCCTTAGCAAACAGCACTAGCTCCTCTAGGAGAGCAGAGGAGCGTTTGATTGATGGGACTTTTCTTTTGTCTTCTCTGATTGTCTCTCCTCCTGTTGTGGGTTGCCACAGAGCTGCATTGAGAGCCTGAACCTGCTGACTGCACAATCAGAGCGGATCTGCTCACATGAACATGATTCACTCTATTCAGCTGGAACAGTACAGTAAGGAAAGTGTAAAGTACGGTTTGGAAACAAGAACCAGATTTGAGGAAGTGTGGATTCAAATACTACCACAAAAATCTGTGCTCTATCTCTAACGAGGAACAAGCGTCCCAAAAGTCAAGTGGAACTCAATAACATGCGTTAAGTGAAAATAAAAGGGAGTAAATGCATGCATTTAGGCTTGCATGGAAAATCGAAGCTTTATACATCAGATAGAGCTCCATGAATGTACATCAATACTCATGCTGAAGTCAAAACCTTGTGTAATCACACACGTCACGCAGTAAAGGTCCGAAGTTCAACTCGTGAAGAGCTATTACAGCACAAGTAGTTTCTGTTTCAAGTTATTTATAAAAGCAGAACTAGAAGAAATCTTGGCAGAAATCGGTCAAAAGCAACTATTATGATTGTCTGCATTGGAACAAGTCCAGCTGTCTTCAACTAAATCATATAAAAACTAGATGAAAAAGATGCATCTTAGATGGGCTCAGAAGCAAGCACAGTTTCCCTTTTATCAAAACATAAAAGCGAGCGTTTCATTTCTTGCAATGAACCAAAGCAAGCTGCTCTCTGGAGTCAGGATTAGTTGAAACACGCTTTCAAAATTATCAAAATCACGTGCAAAAAAATCTAAATATTGAGAAAATCATCTTTAAAGTTGTTCAAATGAAGTTCTTAGCAATGCATATTACTAATCAAAAATTAAGTTTTGATATATTTACGGTAGGAAATTTATGGAACATGATCTTTACTTAATATCCTAATGATTTTTGGCATAAAAGAAAAATGTATAATTTTGACCCATACAATGTATTGTTGGCTATTGCTACAAATATACCCCAGCGACTTAACACTGCTTTTGTGCTGCAGGGTCACATATGTTCGGTGCGGATCCATTCAGAGGGGGAAGCTCTCTCAAAGCAAACTAACGGTGTCGTCATCGCCTTTATTCCCCCAAACCCATGTTCACTTTCTGGGAAGCAGATAACAGCCTGCTCGGATGAGGACATGATCACTCGCTAGTAGGGCTGGGAATTGACACATTTCATTACATATCAATATTTCTAAAAAAGCTCTTTCAACTAAAGCTGTAGACTATACCGGAAACCCAAGTAAAACCCTGTTTTACTATTCTAAGCAACCGTGTCATTTTATCTTGCTTCTACAAGTCTCGTGACCAGTGAAGATTCACACCCCTAGCTATTTTTAAGATGGCAGTACTGACTTAGAGAGATTCCAACTATAAACAAAAAGCATAGAAACTGCAATTTTGGTTAAAATGTAAAGTTGTAAAGATGTATTTGCACAGCAGAAGAATTCATTAGGAAAAAAATGTAGATAGAGAATCGTTTTGGAATCGGATCGTGAAGTGCCTGAAGATTCTCACTCCTCGTAAGTAATTAATCTGTAAACCGGCGCGTTTCTCACCTTGAGGCTGGTGTTGGAGCGAGGGTGGCTGAGATTGTTATATCTCCATGTGTCCGTTCCTGGAGTCTCCACAGCTTCTCTGTGCAGATCAGGGCTCATTACATCACTTCCCGGCAATGAAAAGATACCCAGAGAGACGGGGCACTCCTTCCTAAACACACACACAAAAACATATGACTGAACACTTGTAGGTGTGTGATATTTATTGTCTACAATAATATGATAATTGTTGTTTTAACGATGTGCATGTTGACATTATTGAGTATGCATGAGTATATGCAACAAAAAGAAACGCACATCTTGAGAGTCATTCACAAAAGCATTCTCTACATGATAAAAAGCCTATTAGAATGCAGTCAGAATGCCCCTATAGTTCAAGTTATGAAAGCAAAAATATCCCTGTATGGGTTTTTGTTTTTCAAATTTATAAGATATGAGATTAACCTTTATTTAACCAGGTAAGTCAGTTGAGAACCATTTCTCATTTACAATGACGACCTGGCCAAGAGGCAGCATAAAAAGCAGGTACAATACAATAAAAAACATAATAAAGTTACAAATAACACAATTGTAAACAATAACATATAAAAACAAACAGATAACTAAAAACAAGTACAATGGTCTTGTACTATTGACTGAATTAAATTTTTAAAGGAAGAGAGCGAGATAAATGAACTAAGCTTTAAAGTCTGCTGCAGATGATTCCAATCATATGCAACAGAAAACTGAAAAGAGCAACGACCAAAGGACCAAAGGAGATACGAGTTATATCAAACAAGCAAGAGTGCCGTTTTCCTAAATATTGGCGCGTGAGTGTGATTGCAAATTTTGTATTAATTTTATATTGAGTTACTAGTTTAGACACAATAGTCTGTTTTAGTCTGCTTTTTTTTTTCAACAAAAATAGTTCCAAGCAAAGCCAGAGCAGGACATTTGTGCATCACAGAGCAACACTGCAGTGTTTCATTCCTGAATTAATCTTTTTGAACGAATCATATGAGTCAATGATTCAATGATCCATTTATAAAGACAGTCACTTGCTTTGTTTCTAAATGAATCAGCCGTTTTGAATGAATCGTTTGAATGAATGATTCAATTAATCACTCATTAAGTCAAGCACTTGCCGCCACCTACTGGTGGTTTTAGTGTTTTATTTATTTATCCATGACAGGCCCAAACCAGCCAAAGCACCAGCACAAAAACACACTCAGTAAAATATACTTTAATTATCGTTATCGAAAAAAAATATTCCAAAAATATCGAGAAACGATTTTGTCAATATCACACACCAATAGACACTTGAGCAAGAAACATTATGGATTACTTCTCACCAATTTCATATCAAGTATTGGATGGAAATGACACCATATTGCCACCGAAACAAGTTTCTAAATTACATTGGCTTATTTTTTATTTTCTCTCTTCTGAAGGAAATGTGAGTGGTGCTTTTTGGCGAAAAACACTATATTAACATACACACCGTATTACCTCCAAATGCACCATTTTACCACCAAAACAAGTTTCTGAGTAACATTGGTTTCACAGCTTTTTTTTTTACATTGCTTTCTGGAGAAAAACTCATTGCCACCATGTTACAATTGGACTGACAACTTTCCCAGAATTATAAGGGGTTTCTAAGGCGTTTGGACTGGTAACTAGGGTGTTGCCAAGTCAAAAAGCCAACTCAAAAGTCGTTATGCTTTTCTGATCCTTATGCATGTCTCAGTACAGGCCTTCTGGATGTTTCCGCCTGCAATACAAAGTTTTGGGTGCGAGAAGTACATGCCTTAGCAAACAGCACTAGCTCCTCTAGGAGAGCAGAGGAGCGTTTGATTGATGGGACTTTTCTTTTGTCTTCTCTGATTGTCTCTCCTCCTGTTGTGGGTTGCCACAGAGCTGCATTGAGAGCCTGAACCTGCTGACTGCACAATCAGAGCGGATCTGCTCACATGAACATGATTCACTCTATTCAGCTGGAACAGTACAGTAAGGAAAGTGTAAAGTACGGTTTGGAAACAAGAACCAGATTTGAGGAAGTGTGGATTCAAATACTACCACAAAAATCTGTGCTCTATCTCTAACGAGGAACAAGCGTCCCAAAAGTCAAGTGGAACTCAATAACATGCGTTAAGTGAAAATAAAAGGGAGTAAATGCATGCATTTAGGCTTGCATGGAAAATCGAAGCTTTATACATCAGATAGAGCTCCATGAATGTACATCAATACTCATGCTGAAGTCAAAACCTTGTGTAATCACACACGTCACGCAGTAAAGGTCCGAAGTTCAACTCGTGAAGAGCTATTACAGCACAAGTAGTTTCTGTTTCAAGTTATTTATAAAAGCAGAACTAGAAGAAATCTTGGCAGAAATCGGTCAAAAGCAACTATTATGATTGTCTGCATTGGAACAAGTCCAGCTGTCTTCAACTAAATCATATAAAAACTAGATGAAAAAGATGCATCTTAGATGGGCTCAGAAGCAAGCACAGTTTCCCTTTTATCAAAACATAAAAGCGAGCGTTTCATTTCTTGCAATGAACCAAAGCAAGCTGCTCTCTGGAGTCAGGATTAGTTGAAACACGCTTTCAAAATTATCAAAATCACTTTCATTACTCAGATTTAATCAATAAATATAATCTACTGGAGTTCTCTGGTTACATTAGAATATATCACACAGTCAGAAACAAGTATTTGTTGATTATTAAATTACATTTTTATCCATTTTTACTCAAATTATATTTATCAGTCTTTTATTCTGGCTCATGATAAGAGGTCTACTGTCAACGTTTCCAGAATTACAGTCAAATAATTGTACAATAAATATTTAGCATAGAAACAATAATGTCTATTTTAGAACCTTTTGTGACACTGTCATAACAACTAAGCACATTTTGACCTCCAAATTGTGTTAATTATGCTAAAATACACTACAGTTCAAATGTTTGTGGTTCGTAAGATTTTTTTGATGAAATACGTCTCTTCTGCTCACAGAGGCTGCATTTATTTGGTCAAAAATACAGTAAAAATTGTGCAATATTATTATAATTTCAAACAGCTGTTTTCTATGTGAATATATATTAAACTGTAATTTATTTCTGTGATGCGCAGCTGTATTTTCAGCATCATTACTCCAGTCTTCAGTGTCACATGATCACTGTCATAACAACTAAGCACATTTTGACCTCCAAATTGTCTTAATTATGCTAACATACACTACAGTTCAAATGTTTGTGGTTCGTAAGATTTTTTTGATGAAATACGTCTCTTCTGCTCACCAAGGCTGCATTTATTTGGTCAAAAATACAGTAAAAATTGTGCAATATTATTATAATAAAAATAAACTGTAATTTATTTTTTGTGATGCGCAGCTGTATTTTCAGCATCATTACTCCAGTCTTCAGTGTCACATGATCTTCAGAAATCATTCTAATTTCAGTGTCACGTGATCTTCAGAAATCATTCTAATATGCTGATTTGCTGCTCGAGAAACATTTCTGATTATCATCAATGTTGAAAACAGATGTGCTGATGAATATTTTTGTGGGAACCGTGATACACTTTATTTTTCAGGATTCACAGATTAACAGAAAGTTAAAAAAATAGCATTTATTTGACATAATTTTTTTGTAACATTATAAATGTCTTTACTGTAAAGTCCGTTTCACATTGAGCGCGATTGCGAAAAAAGCGAGGCGAATCGCCGGCGAACGTTGCTTTCACACCGAGCACGAAACGATTGATCGCCTTCTGCTAATTCACGCCTGCACGCTAGGTGGTG